CTGGGAGGGTTCTCCGGGGGGGCGAATTCTGGAACATCCACAGCATTCGTGACACTCGTTAGATCTAAAAATGCTGAATTCAAGACAAGCTTTTAAGTACGAAAGCCAGAATATCAATCTCTATACATATTTGTTTATCTAATGGTTATTGGCGTGACACACATCACCCATGCATTTTGTTCAAAGACAACTTCGTCTCCACTTGAGATTTAATATCTCCTTGTGCTTATAATCTTGTTTATTAATTAATAATTACGTACATACTTCATGCAATTTCTTCAACCTTCTTTTACATAACCTTAGTATCATTTTGGTCATCGCATTATGTACTAGGATGCTATATTTACGCATTAATTTTAAAGTTTAAATCATGATATGTTATGTATTTTGTTCACCCGTGGATAGTCTAGATGGTTAAAGCGATTTGGAGATAATGTGGATAGATGCATAGTCTCATGTTTGTTTTTTCATTTGAGCATCCCTGATCTAAATGGAGGGTCGTGACGGTGGATTGTTGTGTTAGTCTCCCCACTATCTAGCTTCTTGACTCTTGTGTGCTTGATAAACGAAATAGAGACAACGGGGAGAACAAAACAACAATAAAGCAAATCACATATAACAAACATAGAGAAAATAACACGCGCGATTTACCTTGGTTCACCTAATATGGGCTACGTCCAGCCGAGTCAATATTATTGAAATATTTCCTCATCTCTTTCTCGTTTACAATGAATGATTTGTCCTATAATTTGCTATCACACTTATAACAAGAGAAAAATATGTTTATATACTAGGTTTAAGTGACAAAACCAAATTTTACAAAGATTCATATTCCTAAGTGTAACCTAATAAGAAATTAATAACTTAAAGAAATACAGCGGCTATACATGAAAAATGACCAAATTGCCTACGGGCCCAATGAGCGGGGCCCCCTCCCACTGACCAGGCAGCAGGACCTCCGAATGCATATGCGTAACCCAATAATGCTGAAGTAGTCGACAACTCCAACACTTGATTTATAAGATGCATTTGGAGCTGGCATGACATTATCTACATGTGTATAAAATATAGTAAAGGTATTATATATGTATAAAAGCAAGAGAGAATTAATACAAATTAAAAGTCACAAGAAGAAGCAAACAAATGACAATTGGGCATGCATGAGAGTGGTTGGATTGGAGAACAAAGGAACCCCAAGTTCCCGTGGGATTGTCCACACCGACCAAATCAATCCCTTCAATCTCACCTGCCCCAGTTCTGTAGGGCACCTTCTTCATAATCAATCAATAAATTATTTTGTTGTGCAATGGAATTGTTGGTTTTCTGTAGAAAATTAATTAAGAGCTCATTGTTTTATCGATCTTTATATGAAAATATTGCACATGGTGTTTAAGCATGGAGGTGTTGGTGATGGAGGAAGATTTGGTCTTCATCCCGAGAGATTATCAGGTGCCTCTTCGTTTATAAGCACCACAAATGAAGCCCTGGGAAGGTAAGAAAACCTTTTAATGGAAGAAGAAGAAGCTGGCTAGCTCTTGAACAATTAATAAAATCTTGTTCCAATTAAGCTCTGAAATTTATACATAATTAACCAAAACAAATCTGTCTTGGCTACAGAAACAGGAAACATTCAAACATAATTTTCCAAACTACAAATCCCCCATCTCCATAGACACTCCAATATTCAGCATCTCTATAGATATAGTATAGACAATAATTTACTAAATAAAAATAAGAATTGACTCTCAATTATCAATTACCTGTTTGGTAATATAAATATAGATATTTATAACCGATGGTCGACTTTTAATCGATGAAATGTAGGTATCATATCACCCGATGTTTTTTTTTCTATAACCAAGGTATTTGAGTCAACTTATGTGTACCTCAACTAATCCTCAAGGGAGACTAGCACAACAACCCATCGCCTCGGCCTCCTACTTAAATAGGGTTGATTTTTTTTTTTTTTAACCAAGGTGTCCGGATCAGCTCATGTATATCTTAACTAATCATCAGAAGAGATTAGCGCACCGTCACAACCCTCTACTTAAATCGAGGATGCTCAAATAGAGAATCAAACCTGAGACTATGAGTCTATCCACATATCTCCAATTCCCCTTAACCATCTAGGCTATCCACGGATGGACATATCACTTGAATCACTAATCTATAGTTGAGATAGTTTCTTGATAAGATTATCAAAATTTGATTGAAATTAACATATTGGAAAGATGGTTGTGATAATTAAGAGTTTAATTAATTAAAATTCCAACATTGGTAGAAATGTATTGGCCCCAAGTTTATGGCAGTTGGGGTAGCTGATTAAGTGTCAAGACAAAGTAGATCTCATCACATCATCTCATGTTGCTCTCCAACACGTGTATCAAAGGGGTCGGGTTGACTTTCCACATCTTCAATAAGTAATTAACATAAAATTAATTAATAAAGTTACGCATAATTAACAATCAGATTATAGTATTATATAATAATCAATAGTATCTTAAGCAAAACCATAGTATATAAACATTAAAATACGAATACATAAGCACGGTTTACATGGCTGACAAGTGATCTTGTCACACTGTAATTGACAAGAGCTTATTTTATTAATTATTAAACAGTGTTTATAATATAATCTTTCTTTTTGGATGAATTAAGAAGAGGATTAAAGATGAGTTTTGGTTAATCGAAGCCATTTGATTGGCTGACCATTTGAGCTTCTCACGCCTTCATGCATGGTGGATTATCAGCATTTGAATGGTTTATTTTGTGGTTTCTCTCGTTCTACGTCGCTGATTAGTGCTTAATTATCACTTGATTAAGAAGATATTAATTAATTAATCAATTAATTAACTACAATTGTATAGAATGTTCTTTGGTTTATATTACATTTACGTTAACAATAATTTACAATTCAAATGAGAGAATTTGATCGAAATTTCATCTTTTTGATACTTTCAAGCAATAATAAACCCTTAATAAAAGAACAAGGGCATTTGCAAGGAAGACGAGCTAGTATTCGTGTACTTCAACTAATTTTTGAGGGAGATTACGTGACAACTCACCGTCATGACTCTCCACTTAATCGTGGATACTCAAATGAGAAATCGAATTTGAGATCGTGCACCTATCATTTATAATAAAAACCCTAATAAAAAAGTCATGGTCTCATGCATGAATAAATATTATTGTGGATTGAACCACCATAAACCCTAGCATTCCTTTATTGTTTTCATATATTAATATATTTGTAATTACAACCAAGATAAAATAGGATTCTTGGTCGTTAAAAGAAGAATATAACAGATAGAAATATCTGATACAATCGTCACCGAACTCGTCATGGCAATGGCAAAGATAAGTTTTATTAATAATAAAAAAGATGGAAGTCCTCCTCGAGATGGGATGTGAAAGAGATAGAAATAAAAATGAAAGGAGGAGTCAAAAAAGAATATGAATTTGGATCACCTTTTAACCAAGAAAGAAGAGCCAAACCCATGTGGGTTATCGCATTTACTTGATGTCTAGGGTTTGGGAAAGAACCCTAAATCTGCATGGCTTACTACTTATGGAAGGTTAGACGCTTTTGCCAATATCAATTTAAGGACTTGTATGAGGTGGAAGATGGTGGTGGCCATCATGGTTTGACTTCCAAGCTCGCCTTTTATTGGATCTTTTTCATTAGTTTATTCATAAGAAATCAATAGTTTTGCATTAAGATTAAGCAAATGTTTCGTGATGTTGCCAAAGAAATCAAGATATGGAAGATGTTTGATCTCTCCCTCATTCAAGAATTTACAAATTTTTGGAAAATAAATGGTTTTTATTCTTGAAATGTTACTTATACTGTCTTGATCGGCAAACTCGATGATATCACTATCAAATTTGACGCAGTAGAAAATATATATTCTTGAAATAATGATTACTTTGTCATGATCGATACACTTAATGATATGAATAAGAAATCTCAAATATTAGAAGATATATGTTCTTAAAATAATGAATACTTTGTCATATTCGATACTTTCGACAAACCAGTTGTTGGGTGCATCTAACTTGTTAGATTCAACATATCCGGAGACAAGTGTTCTTGAAATATTGATTACATTCATCTTGTTTGATACACTTGATGATATGGTTGTCAAGTGCCTCCGTTTCGTAGTTACTTCGTCGCGTCGTACTCAACACACTCGACAACTTTAGTATTAGGTGCATTTGAAGAAATACTTTTAACTATTTCAAATGTAACATGTTATGTTATTCATTAATGAGAGGTTGCCCTTGCAATTCTTGCATGGTACTGGAAAGACGACAAGGTCATTTCTTAGTTTAACAAACTAGCCGACAAGTCGTTTTGTTTACTACAAAACCAAGTCTTTCATTCAGAAAAATTCCAACAAAAATCACCAATGTCAATACTAGGGACTTGGGAACACTTTGCTGTGCTTCATTTTCTGCACTTCTAAGGAACAATTTCACATGTCAAACTCTTGGAGAAAAAAAAAAAAAATTATGCACATTATTCTTGGTAAGGTAAAAATGAGAAAATGAGCTTATAATGTACTATATGATAGATTGGGTTACAATGCCTATAAATTATGCAAAAAGATTACAGTATTGACAAACTATAAATGCCCAAAAATGTATCTCCCATTTGCTTAGTTTCCCTTTTGGGTAATGCTTAGAACAGTTTTAAGCCTTCAAATAAGGCTGCAAAATGAATACTTGAGCCCTCTTTATGTATTCTAGGAAGTTGCTTGGCTTTGAGTGAAACCTAGGAACATTGAAAGCAGCGTGTATAGGGGGCCAAAAAAAGTACAGTTTGTGTGCAAGATATAGCTAGATTCATGAACAAATGCATGTAAATTAGGACAGACAAATAGATAATCCGGGTTGAGTATCTAGCCAAACTACTTACTCATAAACAACTCCTTGCATCAAACCAACATGGCATAATCCTAGTGAGTTTACTTGAACTAAATTTTGACAGAATCATCAGATTCAAGGAACGACTGAACGAAGATGAAGAGACTTCTATCTTCCTCCCATCTTCATCCAGAAAAATGTGATATGTGATGAGAATATCAATGTCACCAACTATTTATATTGACCAGTACAGGTACAGGGATGCAGTCCCTTTGTTATGATCTGAAATCTGGTTTCACCATAAGATAACATATACCTCCGGCACCAAGTTTCAATCACCAAAATGATAGAAGTATCTATAATATGGCATGTGAACATCGGTCATTTGGTCACCCTTGACCTCTCTGACAACCTGAAAGTGTCCCAGCATGAACTACTTACTAATCAGCATTATAACTTTGCCAGTACCTACATCCAGGTCTCAAATACCATCCCCAGATGGAACATATAAAACATCCGTATGAGTTAAAGTTCATGTGCACTTCTATTCAGTCGACAAATAAACAAAATTTGCACATAAAAGCATGCAGTATGTCTCCTAATTTGTTCAACGATCATTCAGATGCAGCTCTGTTTTTGATGGTGAAGTGTTGAAACTTTTATCGTCCCCTTTAAGTACCATACACTAATTGGGGTATTTGCAGACACAGCATTCAGAAATCTTGCAGTCTAAAAAATGGCCGAAAAGAAACTTGTAGCGATCATGTAGCTCTTCTTTGGGCATTCACAAGTTAGAGTTCGTCATGGGTTGTAACTACCTCATCTGTCAAAATCAAATACAAGAAAAAATGTTCATACAAAATTCTTAAGACATCTAAAACACATTGACATGGGGAAAGAAAAAAGAAGACAGTGACTGATATATAAGCAAAATGGGAAGTAATAGCTATTATTTCTTGTTTTTGTAAACCACTTCATAACAAGTTCATCTTGAATCTAGGATGAGAGGTCACACTTTCAATTTTCATCTGGAATCACAGGTCTAATGTTTTGTCCAATGGAGATCACAGATTGGAAAGAAATTTGAGTCTTATCCTAATTGACACAAGCATGTAAATTTTGTGATCCAAATATAATAGAAGAGTAGTTTAACAGTTACAAAAGAAAAGAAAAAAATGAAGAAGCACAAAAATTATCATCACAATCCAATTGCAGGATTCCATTCATTTTACTTAAATTGAAATAAATGCGTTCTATATATAAAATAGGATATAGCGTTAAGAGTAAACTGGCTTTTTCTCTCTAAGAAGCACTATTACTATGAACATTATCCCAATCATTTAAGAAGACTTTGTCTAGATTCACCTAAAGATATATTCTATAATCATGATTGTAGAAAGGATAAAATACAAAGAGAAGATCATTTTCATTTCTCAATTCCCTCGACAAACAGAATATATAACAGATTTAGTTATTGGCAGAATAGGTCTATATGCATAAAATGTATAACTAGTACACAAGAAGTCCAAACAAGAGCATCCTAGAGCAAAAGGAAATTAAAACAAAAAGTGTTTCTTCTTCAGTGAAGAAGCTTTCAGGAAATTGTATTGATGATGCACATAGGATGCATACCATGAACATATATCTAGACCTCATATAATGATTCCAGCTTTATTTATACATGAATGCCCAAGTTCACTGAATATAGGTATCCTCATCATCAGGTTTTCGTAAACAGCGGCCCAACTAGGATTTAGACATGCTTACACATCATTTCACCATATTAAAAAGAAAAGATAATGGTAACTAACCTGAAGACATCTCATTAAAGAAAAATGAAATCTCTCTTTGGGCTGATTGAAGAGAGTCTGAACCATGAACACAGTTCTTTTCTGAATCCAGCCCACACATTGCTCTGATGCTGAAAATATTTAAAAATAAAGACAATCATGAGGAAATCATGTCACTGACCTGACAGAAATAACCAATGATGAGGATTTGAAACAAGGATGCGGCTAAGTAGTCAGGCCCACAAAGCAGTGGACATTAGAACAGAGCACGAAGAAGATCAGGATGGGGCATAACTAACCTGTGGGGATGAGTATTTTTAGCCTTACGTGCATCAGTTGGTCCAATTAAGGCACGCCAATCAGCAACAGCATTTTCCTTTTCCAAGACCATAACTAACACTGGACCACTGATAAAGGTAGAGTCAAGAGAGAGAGCAGCCCCAAAATATATACCAAAGAATTATAATCAGAGATCCTACCTAAGTATGCAGAAACAAGTTCAACGAGAACTTCAAATTATCAGAGCAATTAACCACATTATAAACTACCTTTTATATAACAACACAATTCAATTGCAAAATTCTCATAAAGTCTAAAAAAAGGTAAAAATGCTTCAGTTAATTTCTGTAGAAAAATAGAATTGCAAATAACACAGGGTGAATTTGGGTTGCCACATTGGACCAATAAGTAAGGAAGACGGGTACCACATTATTGCATTTATTTAATAAGTCAAGTGTTTGCACCACTACAGACCGATATCTTAGTCCATCAATAGACATAAAAGTACATTAGAGTAAATGATACCTTGTCATGTATTTGATGAGACTAGAAAAGAAGCTCTTTGAAGAGTGCTCTGCATAAAAAGTTGCCGTTTGCTCCTCGTCTAGTAGACTAATCTTTTCCTTGAAGATATTGAAACCAGATTCCAGAATTACCCTTTTGATCTCATCAGTGTAGTTACCGAGCACTCCATCTGGCTTTACCATAGCTAGTGTTTTCTCCCTTTCCAAACTTGCATCAGTCAGAGATCTACATAAACATGTAGGACCCCAGACAACTAAGAATTGGTAGCAAAACTGAAATAATGGTCTCCGAAAAAGGGTAAAGAAACGAAACACGGAAACAGCTTCCTTGAATTGACGAATAATTCAACATTAAGGTTGTGATAATCAATTCTATGAGAATCTTCAGTTTGGTACATGATTACCATACTTCTAACATTTTATAGATCATGAAACATCATCAATTTGAAGCATATACTTCATGAAAATTGAGAATTAATGGAATTGCAACTGCTAAAGTTTGGACTAACACAAACTAATTCCAAAACAACAATTACAATTCATCAAACACATTTTAAACATAAGAAACTACACCAAAATGAAACAAAATCCATATTGAAAATTTTCAAACTTGACAACAGATCAACTACAGACTAAGTTTCTAATCTCACACTTCATCATATACAAAGATATTCAAATGAAAACCTTCCAACTTTCAAAGTATAATCATAGTTTCCCACATTTCTCACTAACCAAGCAAAACTTAAGCAATTACCTGCTGAAGATAGAGATGCAGACCAAAATGAAGAACCCAACAACACGAAGAGCCATGTTACTTGTTACACTGAATAAAACACCAAAAGGAAACAGTGAAATTTCAGTTTTTTTGGATCCAATGTACTGAAAGAAACGAACTTTTCTCGGGAACCAGACAAAGACAAAGACAATACCTGCATAAATATTGTAAGAGAAAAAAATGGAAAGATTTTAGCTTTCTCTTTACAGAAGCAAGACAGAAGACAAGAAGTGTATCATTTAGTCAAATGTTTTCCTCAATGGAAAGCTCAAGCTATTCGAACTTCGAAGCTTAAATTAGAAACGACATGGCGTTTAGCTATGTATGACATATACGACCTGTCGACTACGACTTGAGGCTAATTTTAGTAACATCCCCTAACCTTTGATGTAGAAAATACACCCCTTAGGGGCGTTTGGTTCAGGGAATGTTAGATTACTAAAAAGTTAGATTACCTTGAATATTACTGGAAATCTTTAGGAAAATGTGTTTGGTTAATTGGTGGGTATGTTATATTAATATGTTTGGTTCGGAGGAATAAATCGGTGGGTATGTTATTTAAATTACTGAATTGTCCTCTAATTAAATATTATTATTATATTATTTTTTAATATTGATTATTATTTGATTATATAACCCCCTCTGCATTTAAAAACTTAGCAAAAACAACCCCATAATAAAAGTTTGGAAAATCAACAAAGCACCCCCATCAACCTAACCACTGTCGGCCGTCAGCAACCACCACAGGCCACCGGAAACCTAAAGGCCCACGAAAGGCAGGAAATGGCCTCTGTGCACCATATGGCCATTTCCTGCCAGAGATCTAACCGGAAATGGCCAGACGTGACAAATCTGGTTGTTGACGGATCTAGAAGTCAACGGCCAAATCGACGGATCTGGCAATCTGGCCATTTTTAGCCAGATATTTGGTCAGAAATAGCCATATCGACGCATGGAAGGCCGTAGTTCCAGTGGCGGTTGCCAGCGGCAGGCGGCGACAGGTGGGTAGGGGTGGTGGCTTGGGTGGGCTACAATTTGTTTTGAATTTAAAGATAATTTTGTCCAAAAAGTTAATTAATTGGGGGAAATAGTAAAAGCTATATTCATGTAAATAAATTTAAAAATAAGGACATTATTGTCCTAAAATTTTATTAATAAGGGATAGAATTGTAACAAAAAAAAAATAACCCTAGTAATCTTAGAATACCTGAGAAAATAAAGGTAATCAGATTACCTCTAATATTACCAATAGTAACCATTAGTGGTATTTGAAGTTTATAGGTATCTTATATTACTTGACAACCAAATGTGTTAACCAAGTAATATAAGATGATTTAACCCCAATGATCCCTAATAACCCTCAATCAAACGCCCCCTTATTGTTCTGAAAATATAATATTACACCCAAGGTTAAGGGAGCTTACATAATTATTCATTGTCCATCATAAGATTCACATTTTATTATTCTTAAGATGTAATATTGAAGAGTAGAACCATCTAATACTGGACACAAGATAGATCTTCAAAAGAACAAAACTTCTTTCCGAATAAGCCAATTCATTTGAGGCCCCGTATTGGTTTTATTCAAAAAATCTTACTTGTATCGATCTAATTATATTATTGAATTGGTATAACCTTTTAATCTTGAAACAAAACTGGTATTATTGAATTGGTATAACCTTTTAATTGTGAAACAAAACCGGTACCGGTTTCGGTTTTGTTTCACGATTAATTGCAACGTATCCCTAACGTCGAAATTCCAAGAATCATCAAATAGTTTTGTAGAAGACTCATTGAAACATAATCCTTCATAGAGGTACTTTCTTGCAAATTAACTGATAAATTGTTAGATTTGAAGAGTTACTTGCAAAAAAGGCCTCTTGTGGTGACATTTCTACAAGAACAGGATGCATTTGAACACAACATATGCATATACATATACACATTATGACAATAGTATATTTGTATTCTGTTTTCAGTTAGCTTTCTACTTCCATTAGAAGCATTCAAAAAGCTCAAAACAGCAATTTACGCACTCCAAGCAAGAAAGGGCGGCGCAAAGCTGTGTGAGGACAATCGAGCATTGCTTATTCACAGATGAACAAGTCTGGATGAAGCACATGCAACAGCAGTGATCAATCAGCCTGCCACAACAGTTGGAAGCAACCTTAACCAAGAGATCTGCTGCTTCATATGACTTCGATTCCTCGAAGCCTGGAGGAGTATTATCTGCTGTTGCTTTCATGTTGCCAAACCCGACACCTAGACTTCCAAGGAAAATGATGTTTTGGTTACTGGAGTCCACCTTCTTTAGCAGGTCAATTTTGTTGAGTATCTGGTTTAAAGTATTCAGAAGAAACATATCAATAAGCATGACTGAAATGCTCATGTATACTACAAGCAATTATTCTGCCGAATCGGCGAAAACTCTATAAGTTTGTGATTCATAATAATCTAACTTAAATGTCATATGAGCACTCTTTCGAGATCACTCAAATTGATCCAACTTGGGCCAGCAGAATTGTGGACATAATTTACACAGATAGCTTGCAACGTTTCTGTAGATCATAAGGTAAATCATGTATGCATACCTCCTGCATAAGAACTGGTTCAGGTTCCTTGCCACTTTTAAGTAAAAGCATGTGTGTATACTCGGAAGGAAACCCGGTTTGTATGCTCATTTTTGCAACCTACACAATAACATTATCATCTCAGGATGCATAAAGACACCATTTGTGTTTGCAGGAACTGATGGAATTATCTTTCATAACTCATCATATTCTAGCCTTCTACAATGAGTTGCAGTTAGCTGTTCCAAAAGTCAAAAATCTGATTTGTATCAATAACATTGTCATCTTTAACACCAGCAAAATAGCTTACCTTATCCTCAAGCTCTTTACTTTCTGACAACCACGCACGAGCTGTGAGCATATCTATTTGTCTCCTCGCAAATAGCTGATGAGCAAAAGGATAATCAGATAAGAAATAAGAAAGCATACTGAAATGAATAAATGTGGAGATTCAAATCCTTGCAATGTATCATTATCATTCCAGAAGCCAGATATAGGACATTCTGAGCCATACTAATCATATGATTAAACAATTGAATAAACCAATTTTGACAGCAAAAACAACTATTTTATTTGTGCAGTGTTAGAAATATCAAGTTTTAAACAATTACTCTATCAAGCTGTATATCCTTCGCATTCTGTACTTTCAAGTCTATTGCAAAATTGGTCATATGAGCCGTTGTGCCACTAACTTTAACATAGTCAGGAAATGTTCCGGTGTATCTGCCTGATACAATCAAAGGACTACCGGAAGAGAGATCTGGGACATGAGATGGAAACAACTGCAAGGAACAGAGAATGCAATAACTCAGTTACGCAACCAGAGAGATAAAATATTACCACACAAATGAATAAAAAGGCCCTCTTTGCAAAGGAACATCACCTCCAGTGAATCAACATGCTTGCTAGTGTCCAATGTTACATCAGCTAAAATGACTGATGAAGCAGCTGAAAATAATCTTTGAATTCGATACTCAACAAAATCTGGCCAAATATAAAGAAGTACATATAAGAATGAACTCATCTGTACTGTCCACTAACTTGTTTCAGGGAATACGATACAAGACTTTTATTGCACTTCTAAATTCCCATCAAAATAGGAGAAGATAAAAAAATGAAAAAGAACTTGCCTGGATGATAAGCACTATCATAATGACCCCTGCCAATTTGTGCTAGCATTTGCAAGAAGTAGTGGTTGCAGTATGAACCTGAAGCGAGGTTTATGCACAAAAACAATATAAGTGATTATTTGTCTAAACCCCATAATCTATATTGTCAAAAAGTGACTCCACTGTCCAAAACTGGAAGAACAAGTCAAGAATTGCACCAAAAACAGGAAGTAAATCCTCAACACCAAAGACTTACCTATGCCAAAAGTGCATATGCGAGGAGAAATTGCTCTTGTACTCGTGAGATAACTTTTCATTTCATTGCAAATCGCTCTCTCATCTTCCACAGTCCCATCGGTTATAAGAAAAATGAGAGGAATTGATTCAGTTGTGTCAGACAACAGCTTCAATGCCTAAACAGAACAGAAGATCAAATCTTATTCAGTAAATTCCCATAAAGAAACTGATAGATGTAAGACAAGTGTTGAATAAAACTCTATGTTGATTAGGCCATGTCACATTAATTCCCATTAAGAAAGACATCAAATATCCAGGCAATTCCATGTGAGTGTCATGATAAGGAATAAAAACCCCTTCAGTGGTCCTGAGGATACAGGCTGTTATCAAAGATGGCCACAAAACCATCAATCTTATTAATGCATGGAGGTGATGGCATGATGACCACAATACGATACTAATGAACCAAGTGACAATGACCCCGCTACAACATGACTGAATTACACGAAGTAGACCCCATCTCCTTGTTTTATGTCACATAGGTTACTATGGCAGTTGGGAACTTAATATGGAAAGCAACTGTTAACTCTAGAAGCTGAGTAATACTTGGATGGTAACTTAAACGAACCTGTTTAAGGGGAAGCAAAATTTCTGTACCACCATCTGCAATTAAATTATCGTTAAGCCACTGGGTAGCATTTTGGATAGCTCCCTTGGAGGCCAGCTCCATTGACGATGAGAATAAGCGAATCTCCCCATTGAAAGCAATGATGTTGAAGGAATCCTCTGGGCTGAGGTTAGAGAAAGATGCCAATAGGGCATTTTTCGCATTCTCAAGAAGGTCTCCTCGCATACTTCCACTTATATCAACTAAAAACACCACTGCCTTTCGGAAAACCTTTCTACTCTGGCTCTTTCCAGGGAAAAGAGAGAGGCAGAACATCTGTCTTTGATCAAAATCATGCAAAGATGGAGATTGTAACAGAATGCCACCAAATAAATCATCCGAAGAGACCTAATAACACAAACGCTCAAGCAGAATTAGTTAATTCTTCTTCACATCAGTACTCAAGCATTACAAGGGAAAGCCGAAAATCTTACTGTATACGAAAATTTGAGGTCAGAACTGGACCATGCTGGCACTTGTGCTTCATATAAGAAACTCGCTTTCCCTGCGCCGCGACTTACTTCCTGGAAAGTCATTATAATCATGTCACACTCAATGTATTCTGAAGCTAATCGGAAACTTATCATCATCGCGAAAACAACTTACCTTCAGAGGATGGCTAGTACATTTGCATTCAATTACTGCACTTAAGCCGGAGTTAACATTCAATTGTATCTTTTCTCTCTTGAAAATTTTCTTCCCCACGGGAAATACATATCCAGGAAAATTGAACGGTACACTGAGACACAACTGGCCCTCTTCATATGTCAATTTCTGAGACCAACTGACTTTAATTGAAAGAGTGGAACCTCCATCAACCTAAAAATGGTGAAAAACACATAAAACACATTGCAGCAAATTGCAGAAGAAAATGAAACAAACTCCTGAGGAATCAATCAAAATTACCTGTGGGATTTTGAAAGTGTAGATTTGGCCTTTCAGAAAGCGGCCGCCGGGTTTGGTTTTCGCTACATTTTCCTGAAACTCTGCATCTTCTTCAGTGATCAACTTGGTGTGAAATAGTCTTCCAGCAATGTCTACCTCAACACCTAGAAGTGAACCCTGTTAGCCACATCATGTTTTATCTCTTGAGAACATAAAATTAAGCTTCTTCAAACATTAATTTACATAATACCAAGCTCAAAGATGTTCCTAAACCCTAAACCGGGTCGTACCCTCTTACTGTCCCGTTAACGTTACCGGGCAAGTTTCTTCCGTTGATCAACTGGTAGAAACACACCCAATAACATCACAATTCCAGTAAACGTTATCAATCACAATTCACAGCGTAATCACTACTGGACTTCCGGTAACATTAATGGACCCGGTAGCGTAACAAAAACCCGAAATTAAGAACAAGAAAAATAAAAGCCATTATTGGTACCTGCTCTCCAAGTGGAATAGCAATCCTGCAATCGCATTTCCTGCTGGTCGTAACACAGTGCACACGCCAAGTTCCTTCGACGGTAACATAAGCCGTATCCAAACAGCAATCGGCTTCCATGCTCACTCCATGCATATGCAACGGTATCAAAGCCGGAGGTACACATTTACCATGCACGTACGGTTGGTAGCTGGGCACGTCAGGGTTATCCACCACCTCAGGATCCGGCACCACAGCGTAAACCATCACGGCCTCCGGCAAGTAACCCTCCTGCTCCCTCTTCATCACCGGCGGCGCCATGACCGGCGGGCTTGTTGCCGAGCCTTTTCCGTAGTATATTCTTTTGGAAAGAGTGAGTCCATAGTCTACAGAGGTGGCAAACTCGGTTGCCATGTAAAGGAGAATAGCTCCGCCGCCGACGGTACAGAATCTCCAGCGAGATTTTTGGAAAAAAAGTTTAAAAAACTGTAAAGGTCAGCGTGGTAGGAATGAAACGTGAAGAAGAACACAACCTACCATTATGTGTGTATATAATATATATAATATGAAACGTTTGTGGGGGCAGTTGGAAAGTTTTTATATATTAAAGTGAAAAAGAAAAAGATGTTTAATGATTGATGATTATGTGTATCAGTTTTTTTTGTAGTATATATATCTATGATCTATCTGTCTATCAACTGTTCAACTCTCTCTCTCTCACCATGGATGCCTGAATTCTCAAATATTTTGACATAATATATATTACTTTTTATCAAATTATTATCAAATTTAATTAGAAATATTGGTTGTATGTATTCATGCGAATCATTGTATGTATTTGTTTTGTATTTAAGCATGCATGTATGTAACATTGATTTAACGACTGAAGAAGAAGGAGAAGAAGACTAGATTACAGTTGTCTGTTGTTAGGGAATTAATAGTTTAATCTAATGGGAGCCAATGTAGGCTCGCACGTGGAGCTTGATGGACGAAGAAACGTCATAGTGATTTGACTCTGGGACAAGTAATGTACTCTCATGTGCCCAAGTAGAGGATTTTTTTTGTATGTGCCCAATAAGAACTTGCCACTTCAATCACTTTAAAGTGTTTATTTTAAAAGGTTATTATAATCGCATTTATCATGCTAGGGTTCAATGTTTAAAGAGCTACCCCTGACCAATTTATTATTTTATAAACTATTAAAAACTCTTTATATTATTAAAATTCCCGAAATGAGGAATTTTTAATAGTTATGAGGATTTGACGCTTTTAAAAAATAACCCCATTTTTTAAACCTTTTATAAATAGTATTGGTTTAGAGTTTTATAAGATTTGTGCTTTGAGAAATAATAAATATATCATATAACAAATTCTCTAAAAAAAAAAAAAAAAAAAATAGAATGATATCACATATTTGAATGTTTGAGCTCATTTGCTTGTAATATAATGGTTGAATAAATTCAACCAAATATAAAATCTCCAATTATTAATAATGCAAACAAAGTTTATTGAAATGATGGATCATAATTGTTTAATTAATTTTGTTGACTTCACTATGATGCATACAAACATAAGATAATGTTTCTTATTTGATTGTTTTTATCATATGTTTATGTTAATTTGAAGTCATTAATACTACCTATAATTGCTCATTAAATCTGCTGCACTGAGACCACCATAGTTGTCCCCTGGGTTATACTGTAATGTTACATCAACAATCTTTTTTCACAAATTTTCTTTTAAATCCTAATATAGTAGTTAGTAATTAATCAACTTACAATAAATTAGTGAGACCCGTTATGAACTGACCAATTACAAACTGTCACATCAAGATTGTGAAAAAAATTATAAACTATGGTTGTTAGTGTAATATTATCCGTGGTCCCATCTGTGTCCAATTTCCACCAAACACTTGGTTCATTAACATTATGGACCCTACAATATCTACCATTGATCTCAACATAGGATTCTTTGATGGCAACTTTGGGACCATGATTTTGTGAGAGACTTTAAAAAAAATTACATCTTGTCACATCATAGTTTTAGAATTTGCAAACCCATACTATTTGTTATTAAAAAATAAAAAATATTTACATGTTCTCTAAAATCCAAACACTTCACCGACCATTCAATCGGTAGGACCAATAGAAAGTGTATACAAAAGGTAACGATGTACCAACACAAGCTGATGACTTACGCTTACTAGGAATTCCAAAAAAACCCCAATAAAAATAATTAATTTTTTTAAAATATGAAAAACGTTTTCATAAAATTATCAAAAAGGTTTCTATTGAAGGATTTATCACATCATAATTTCAGAATCTGGTAGTTAGGCCGTAGACGATACTTTTTGTTTGTTATTGAATGAAATTTCAATTTTGTGGTTTAAAGTTGTGGGGACTCATAAAGATGTTATAGAAATTTTGACAATTGAGGTTTTCCTTGACAAAATGTGTGAAATGTGACCCTTTTTTTTATGTTAGGTCCACAAATAATCTATCATTAGGTTGTCTTGTATAAAGTAACCTCACAATCCCATATAAGAAGACCAACAAAAAAAAAAAAAAATTGCATTTAGAAGTTATATTATAAGAGGGTTAATTTCATCCACTCTCGAGAAATAGCTAAATTCCAAGCTTTATTGATTTTCAGAAAGTATCAAAATTCCTCTTTTATTTGTGGTTTTTGTTATACTTGAAGGTTTTTTTTTTTTTTGTGTGTTTTAATTATTATTATTATTATACTTTTTTCATGCGTATCTATGGTTTTTTAAAAATCATTAGGCGTTTAAGACTTAATGATCTTTGGTGAGGTGACAAATAAACCTTTTTTTAACAATAAGAAAAAACACATTTTTTTAAAGGTGAACTAAGGAGCTATCGCTATGCATGGTTTAAACCCACAATCACATGTTCGATTTCCCAATAGAGCAAAGGTTATCTTTGCCCATGATTACCGGAGGCCACAATGGTGGGTTGTTATGGGATCCTCCCCTAAGGATTAGTCCATATTATTAGTTAAAGTATGCGTAAACTGGTTCAACACTTTAATTAACAAAAAAAACACGCATTTTTAATATATTTTTGAAAGCATTTTTATTTTTTAAAAGTGTTTTTATCAATTTACTCCTTTAAATATTAGTCTATAACACAAGAAGTCAAGAATCACAATAAGATAATACCCAAAAGCACTTCCATATATATATATTTTCAATATGTTAACCTAAATACTAGGGAATAGGCAAAAGGACTTATAAAGTTACATTAACAAAGAAAAGCAATTCCAAATTTAAAACATTCTCTCTAAGCAGTAGCAGATTTAGAAATTTCTTTTAGGGTGGGCCAAAATAAAAATTTATTATACATTACTATTTTTGTCCATTAATATTTTTATTAGGGTGGGCCAAAATATATAAATTTACATATTAATATTAAAAAAAAAAATTTCATGGCCCATCCAAAAAGTGGCTGGATCCGCCACTGTCTCTAAGCTTCACATGGGAAACACATGGCATATACTACAAAATAATGATAGATTAGAATATTAATGCTCACACAATAAAGCAAAGGATTGAATAAAATATAAAGCAAAGTTTATTAAAATATAATTTGGATTTGCTTACCCTAATGGACAAATCTTATAATTAACCCAAAGTTTAAAAATAGAATAAAGGAGCTTAAAATTATAAAATTATATTAAAGAATTAAAAACACTGACCCCCTAAGATTTGATACAATAACGAAATCTTCTTCGGGTTTCTAAAATAACAAACAAGCTCTTGCCGGTGATAATTTGTGAACTTTTAGTAAACCATGATAATTTAAACCATTATAAGTTAATAAATACTTACTTATTTACTATCATGCTGTATATTTTAATATTTAATATGAAAAACTTAATAGTAGAATCTATGGGTGTGTTTGGTTTAGTATTCCTATTTATATTCCCAATCTTATTCCCAAAATATTTGTTTGTTTAATTATTTAGGAAATATTAGTATATTTTTTAATTACTTTTAGACCCCTTAAGTTTATTAATTTTATAAATACCCCCAGAAAAAAGTTTAAAAATTAACAAAAACACCCTCACCCACCCATGCTTGCTAGATTCCGGCAACCACCGTCGATGGTAGCTGGAATCTGTCACAACAGCTTACAAACGACTGAAAATGGTTGGTAATTCACCAATCTGGCCTTTTTCGACTAGATCCACAGTAGATCTGGCCAAAGAAATGGTCGTCGTTGACGGTCAACGATGGCCAAATCTTAACCATTGTTAACCGACAACGACAACCATATCTTTGGCCATTGCAGACGGTCAGATCTGGACTTTTACCGTCGTCGACGGCCAGATTTGACCGTAGATCTAACCTTTTTTAGCCAGATCCGTAGTGGATCTGGCTGAAAAAGGCCATATTGATGCCCAACCTGATAGTTTTTCGACCAGATTCCGACGGTGGTGGCCGGAATCTGGCACTGTGGATGGGTGGGGATGTTTTTGTTATTTTACAAAATTTTTATATATTGGGGTGTTTAGTTAAATTAGTAAACCTAAGAGTTTTTTCTGTTAATTTTTTAATTTTACCTCGTAATAGTTCCCTATTCAACTACTCAAAATTATTCTCAAAATCCTATCTAAAACAACAAAACCAACGACCCTATATTATATCATAAACCTCAAAAGGATTATTTTTATTTAATTGTGAACCTTATCGGTTAATTGACGCTAGTTTTAATCCAACATGTCGGGGTGGGACAAGCACTTTATTTAGGCAGTAGGCCTGCCTAACTTGGCACTAATTATGCAGGTGGCCCATCACTCCACCTTAATTTACACTAATTAAACATCGGCAATGTGCCTTAAATTTATAATATATGCATAATCAAGAAGAAAATGAGAAGGGTTTTTATTTATTTATTTATAGTATATTTATTTGTACTAAGAAACGTGTCCTTTTTATTAAGAGACCAAAAAATAGAACTACAATTTTGGTAAAACCACGTTGAACCCCAAGGGTTGTCTTGACGGTCAAGGATGTTTGCTTTCTTCGTTGAGTTCTTAGGTTCAAAGTTCAAACTTTGGGATCATCTATTACATTAACAGTGTGACTTACTTGGTCCTTTGAGCTTGTAGGATGTTCAATAGACCTCGGATATTAATTGAGTTGCACACAAGCTAGTCGAACATCTTGGTTACTCAAACAAAAAAAAAAAAAAAAAAAAAAGCCCACATTGATTGGTAACAAGATTTGATAAATTCGGGGTGGCTGCAGGGCGAGGTCGGGGGCAGGGTTATGCCAAACCCCATCCCATCTCCGCCCCGTCCCCGAGTTAAAGTGTTTTATCTACATAGAGCAATTAAATTTATTGAAGGGATTATAGTTTTTTGTCAACATATAGTAATTAAAATTATAGTACCTCGTTTTTACTAAAGGGGTTTGGTTTAGATACATTAAGCTTTGTCTCTTCCTCTCCTATTGTCACTTCT